CCCAACCCAACTCCATAATCTTGTGTTCCGCCACATGTGGACGTGCACTGTCATGGAGAAGAAGAACACCTTTCCGATTGATGAGTGAAGGGCGCTTCTAATGAAGGGTTCGATTTAAATGTTCCAGTTGCTGACTATAGATCTCTGCATTGACAGTTCACTGTAGATTGAGGAGTTCAAAATGAATTACTCCTTTGATGTCCCACCAAATGCAAAGCATCACTTTCTGCGGATGGAGTCCAGGTTATGGGGTCAGAAGTGGTTTTTTGTCTAGGACTGAGCCATTGTTTTTGTCATTTAATATTTGCAAAAAGAATCCATTTTTCATCACCAGTGACAATTGTATCCAAAAATGATTCACGCACTTTACGTGCCAAAAGAGACGAAGCAATTTTCACATGTGGGAAACAATGATCATCGGAGAGTTTGTGAGGTACCCAAACACCTTCTTTATGGAGTTTTCCCATATTCCTTAGATGTTTACGTATTGTTTCATGAGAGACATGCAATTTTAAGGCCATTTCACGAGTGTGTTGCCTTGTGTTAGACAAAACAAGTGTCTTCAGAGCATCAATATCAATTCCAACAAGTGTCAACCCCTGCCATCACAGTTTCTAAGGTTAAAGCCGCCTGAACGAAATTTGCTGAACCATCATTGACACTTACGCACGTTCAAAACATTTCCATAAACTTCTTTGATATTTTTTGTGGCTACAGAGGCATTGTTTCCCTTCTTGTATTCAAACAGCATTACATGCCAAATGTGTGTCTCCTCAAGTGCCATCACTATAAGGGATTAGAGTATACTGAGTATACTAAACTTTACACATTATATAGGTTACACTAATGTGATGATTAGGAGGTTCATTTAACTATTATACATGATGTACGTTTTTTGGGGGTGGTTAATGAAAGTGTCTCAAAAGGCAAAATTAATTTCTTGATGACCTAATATATTGCAAACTGTGGTGTCTGTCCGAGCGTTGATCTGTCTCCCATTTGAAAAGCTGCACACACAGGCGAAGCTCAACATTCACTTTTGAAATGACAGGAGAACAGTCATGAATAATGTTGATGCCAAATTTTATTTCACAAACAGGATATTCTACAATAAATTGTCAGGGATTAATCACACAATCATTCACATTTCAAAATGTAACATAACTTAAAGAATAAAAATGTAGATTTACCGTATGTTATTGTTGAACAACTCTTAGTATGACTGAAATGCTCAACAATTACTTTTCGCAGTGGGCAGTATAAGTAGCTCAGAGTTTTAAAGTCCGTGAAATAATTTCAATTGATAGTTTAACTTAAACTTTTCTCACCACTGGGGATGGGTACTTTTGTTTGTAAAACCTATAAATACAAAATAGCTTTATTATTTGTTTGTTTCAGAGTTTCACACACAGCTACCCAAGAGTCATCAGTACCTAGCCATCCATAATTTTAAACTAATAGACTATAGAGAAGGCTGATAATCAACAACACCCCACTGCTAACCCTTGGGCTACTGTTATCTGACCAAGTAGTGGGATTTGAAGCTTGGGAATACCAATCACCGGGCTATGCCAAGCCCAAATGGATTATCCGAATGTAGTTGCTACATTATACAGGCATCCAATCTGTACAGTCACTTCTTCTATTGAACCTCACCTGATCAACTAATTGTCCAGGTTTTATCTGAGCAATGAGAATCTTTTCACTTAAGTTGATATTTTTTGACTCTTGAAGGAATCTCAGGTCATCTTCCAAACAGTTTTGGCAATAAACCATATCACCCTATTAAAGACAAAACAAAGTGCAATATTAGAAATATATACAAATTATTCACCTATAATTTTATTCTGGCTTTGGAGGTTTAAAGTAAATATTTGTACCAGTAACTGAGAGAAAATATGATATTTTAACATTATTTCTTATTGGAATCTACTGTGCACAGAAAATGTGTCACCCTCCTACTTGTGGAGGGTTATTGTCTCATGATGATTATATCATGTAGTGCAGTTCACATCAAAACCTGTGAATTAGTTGAGAAAAAGTTCAAGGCTAATGTTATGTGCAAAATCTCAACAGCAGATGTATGAGTAGTAGTTAATGTGTGCAGAGAAGTAAGTGGTTTGTTTTGGAAACAACAATTTTGAAGCATTTTAAAAATATTGAATAATATTGTTTCCTTTGATTTTTTATATTGTGCAGTAAACAACAGTATGTATGTATGTCTAGATCAAAAATAGAAAACAAACTATGATACAAAAAAATACTGACTCATTCATACAAACACACTGGGAGCAAGTGCAATATATGCTGAAATATATCCTTTCCATTGTTTCAATTTATTTATAAAATGATCGTTTTACAGCTTATTATAATGAAGGGGGATTCAGCAGCTTTTTCAATGTATATATGGTCATATCACATAACTAAAGTTTGGTATCTATACACAAGTAAGATGATATATCTTCCTTTCAATATTAGCACACCCTACATAAGTACATTCCTACATTTTAAACATTTAACAAGTCTCTACAGTTTCAACTTAAATAATTTAGTGTTATTCTATATGATAATATGTATTTTTTGTGGTCATGATCTTTAAACTTGTAGATAAGTATCTAGAACACCTTCAATTTTCTCCAAATTAGATCCTAATGAGAAAGATCAAATCAGGCATATGCTCATCCCACACTTGGTATTGCTGGTGCACATAAATATAGGTAATAAAAAGGAAATAAACAAATATAATAAAAAATATTAGAATTTTATAAAGGCAAGTAGTGATTGATATATACATAACCTAGCTAGCTATAGTGATATAGAAAGTTTTTATGCTACAAAAAGTATTGACACAAGGATGTCAAAACTATAAAAACTGAGTTACTTAAAATGAAAAAAAAAATTATCCCTAATTCCACAATTCACCATAGTTATGATAGTCTGAGCCAAAGTAGGATACAACTTTTTTCATTTTAAGTAACTCAATTTTTGCAGTTTTGACTTTCTTGTTTCAATACTTTTTGTAGCATTAAAACTTTCAATACCACTATACCAAACTAGGTTATGTATATATCAATCCCTACTTGTCTCTGTAAAATTTATACATTTTTTATTATACTTCTTTGATATATAAACACATCACACAAGGAGGTATTTTATATAATATTTCCCAATTTTCATCAAAAATTAGTTTTCCATAACAAATCTTAACTAAACTTATGAAAAGTTACACTTACCATATTATACGATTTCTTAGGATTATAACAAGCACAAAACAATGGGACTTAAATGAAAAATTTTTGTAAACCATTAAATCCAAGGAATAATTTCTTCTGAATTTGCATAAACAATAAGGCCATGTTAAAGATGTTAAATATCCAAAATGGTCAATATTTGGCAAATGAAACTCATAATAAAAAACATCTTTGACAAAGTATATGTTTGTACTATTTTCACAACTTTCATGATGGGACTATTCTGGGCCCTTTAATCATCTTGTCTTTCAAATTGACAATTTTTATTCTTAAATGCATTTCACACTGACATTAAGAAACACTGTACCAATATTTTCTTTTATACCACAAAAAAGATAACTGTGCAAAAATTGCACAACATATATATATATATATATATATATATATATATATATATATAT